TCTTCTCTCTCTTGTCTCTCTCTCTCTCTCTCTCTCTCTCTCCGTCTGTCTCTTCGTGGATATATACCCAGTAGTTGGCCGGGGACCGCGGACACCTACTCGATGCCCATTCTTTGGCATGGCGTGGATCGCCGTCCCGAGCCTTATCAATCGGGATTCTTGGAGAGCAGGCCTTGGTGGAAAGTGGTAAGGTCGACGGTCCGTTTAGATTCCGGGCCCCGATTCTCGGGGGGAGTCCCGCCAATGGATCTTCGACTCGAGGGCGAAGGAAAAAAGCCGTGGGCGTTCGCGAACGCGTTACACGCAACGATTCTTCTCTGCCCTTGGCCGGGGATCGGTCAATTAGCATTCGCCGGGTAAAAACAAGCTCGTCGCGAATCGATGATAACGCACCGTAAGCATCGTGATCCGATCCGATATTGCGTGCAACTTTAGCACCTTGAATCGTTTCTCCGTTCTTCCGAGATTATATATATATATATACATATATACGCATATATATATACGCGTCCGTATCCCCGATCGGCCGTCGTCGTGCGCGTCCTCCCATTATGGAAATAAGAAATACACCCGACCGGGATAATTTGCGTCACCTCGACGTCGTTCCGCGACGCGATTATTTAACCGTCTCTCCGATAAACGTCACGGGACGTTTCTTGCGCGATGTTTATCCACGGGAGGATCCTGTCCGGTCCCCTGTCCCATTATCTCGTTTCTTTACAGTGAACGCGCCCTCCCGATATATATATATATTTTTTTTATTTTTTTTTTTATTAACGCGAATCATCGAATCGATTTTCGAAACGCGCGATTCCCTGCTCGCGTGTTAACCCAGTGGCGGAGCGAGCGAGCGGTATCTGGAAGGAAGATACGATCATGGTGGACGGAGAAGGGAAGATCGTATCATCCCTCGAGAATCGGGGCCCCCGATTTCGACACCTGGAGCAACACCATGAAACGACGTTGTTACGCTCGTTTAACGCGATTTAACGTCGTCCTCCTTTCCCCCCTTTTTCTCTTCCTTTTCTGTTTTCCCCTGCGGCCGCGAGAGAGGAGAGGACGCGCGCTCGAATGGGAGAGGGGAGGAGGAGGGAAGAAGAAATTATATTCTCTCTTTCTGTCCGTGAAGAGAACGATTAAACGAGAAAGGGCGATTCGTTGAATCAACGTCCGTTCTCGCGTTAACGCGTAATGAATAGAGGGAGGGGCGAGGGAAAAAGCGAGGGGCAACAAGGTGTAATCGGTATGTCGAGTTTTTTGCGCGTCCTCAGGCAAAGGCAAACGTTCACGATGCGCAGCGGAGGATGCCGGGGTTTAAATAGAAAGAACGAAGAAGAGGGGGAGAAAAAAGAGATAATAATCGCCTTTAACGATTTCGAATCGTGGTTAACGGACAATCGGGTTGTCCAATTAAATTTAATCGTCGTCGTCGTCGTCGTCGTCGTCGGTTTTGTTCGACGCGAGAAACTATTATCGCGCCCGATCCCAAGTGGTCTCGGTTTGTTCGCGTTCCATGGAAATTTTCAGACCGAGGCGAAACGGAGCGTGACGCGAATGTTTTCATCGATTACCCGATCGCTGCGTCTCGATTATCGCGAGACAACGTGTATTCAAGTGTGTTCGAGTCGTGACACGAGTCGATCGGATACTCGGACGCGATTTCTGCGACGCGCCGATTCGACGATCGATCGGGCAACGTGGCCGCTAAGCTACCGATAAGCTAAATTAATCATCCCCCGTCTTTGTTTCCACGTGCCGAGAGAGATATAGTCGTCGCCGAGAGAGAGAGAGAGAACGAACTCGCGCACGCGACGACGAGTTTCCAGAAAAGATTTCCCGCGAAAACAGAAAAACGAAGAATGAACTTGAATGATTGAACGAGGAATCCACCGTTTCGAAGAAGATAGAAAAAAGAAAAAGAAAGAAAGAAAGAAAGAAAGAAAGCAAGGAGATGGACGTCGAGGCGAACTGACCGTCGATCAACGACACTGGAGGCACGGTCATCTGTTGATGGTGATGCGCGGCTGGATGCTGATGATGGTGTGGTGGATGGACCTGAAACAGATGCGACCTCGTCTGCGAGAAGGTCGGCGAGGGTGGTTCCCAAGGTCGGGCGACGCCGGTGCTCACGGGGGCATCGTCGTCGTGACAGCAAAACTTGTCGGTCAACGGGGCCCCGCCGCTGCAATTCACCACCGCGTGTCCCTCGTTGTTGTTGTTGTTGTTGTTGTTGTTCGCAACGTCCCCAACGTTATTATTGTTATTATTGTTGTTGTTGTTGCCGCTAGAGTTGCCGCTGGAGTTGTTGTTGGCGATACGCGTAGTACTCGCGCCTGTCGCGGGGCTACCACTACCACTAGCACTGCCACTGACACTACCACTGCCAATGCCGTCGACCTGCACCATTTCGCTGTCGATCGCAGCCGCCGACTTGGCAGTACCAGGAGGGGTCGCGACGCCGCCACCGATCATCATCACCGCGCGATCACCTCCACCCCCTCCACACCCGCCACCAGCTCCTCCCCCTCCTCCCCCCTCCCCCTCCCACCCGCCTCCACTTCTCTATCCCGAACCCTATCCCGTTCGTTTCTCTTCCTGCTGTCTTCCTGCCTCTCTGTATCCGACGGATGCTCTCTCTCTC